TTAGTTTGTGGGTTCTGAGAAAATGTAACTCGTATCGGATTCGCCTATTAGGACAATATAAACTAATGATGCACCGAAATTAAAATTCTTGGCCGAAACCGAAAAAACACCAAAATAAATTATTATGCGAATTATTAGCAGTATTGCGTTTATGGCTATGACCGTGTACTAACCCTCAATAAAAATCAAGGCACTGCAATTGCATAAATTGATAATACATGATTAACAAAAGAATAGGTGTACTTTTTACCCCATCTTGAAATTTCAGTATTATACGTTTTGGCAAATCACTATCCATGGGTCTTTCTCAGACATATTGAAATACGTCCACACCGCCAGACATGTTGGTACCTATGGCAAGACGCTTTAACATTTTAACGCTAAGCTGGATATGTATTGCAGATATCGCTAACGCAGTTTTGCTCAGTCAAAAAGAAAATGTTGCATATCCAACAAGCCACGGTTTTTTGTATATTTTTATCTGTACGAACCACTGTATGAGTTGCTGCCACCTAGTGGCTGGAGGCTGGGTATCACGCTTTTGTCCGGCGTGCCATATTCCATTCCACCTTACCCCGCCCCACGATTTGAGAAACACTGCCTTAAACCAACCTGCTTAACCTGAGCAGTGGGTGATAAATATGCTAATATGGATGCCGATTACGTCTGTCGTGCAGCTAGAATGCTTACCAGGACGTCCATGTTTTTATTGTTTGTTAGTGTTAGTTTGTGGGTTCGGAGAAAATGTAACAGAACCGATTTGGCCTTAGACTTTGTATCCTTATATCTAAAGATGGCGTTCTGTTTTTCTGACAGCTTTGCAGAGATTATTCCAATCCTGCTGTGGGCTATGCGTTATTCTCAGGACTCCGCTATCTTTCTATACCACTTATCAACTGTCTCACTATAGGGAACTGTGTCTTTTTTATCATTTAGTTACCGAGTGTTCACACAGCAGATTTCTCCCTCTCTCTCTTTCTCGCTCAATCTCACTCCCTTTTTCCTTTAAAAAAAGGAGTCGTTTCACATAGCTGTTGTCCTCTCTCCCACACTTCGGCTGCAGTTTTCTCGTTTTGACACTTTTATTCCCGACACACACTGTCTCACCACTTGGAAACCGCTATTATACTCTTTTTCAGTTTGTCTGTTAGCCGGGGCTTTGGATTGGTTGTCTTTTATTTTCTTATTCAACCCAGCTAACGGTCACGGCCATCTCCTGCTCTGTCACCCTTTGCTTTTGCGTGTGCGATAACGCTCTTATGCCGGCGAGTGTCACCTCAACTGCCTGGAAAAAAAAAAAAAAAAGTAAATGGCCTGTCTCGAATGCCTAGGAATGTAGTCCAATCATCAGGATCTATTGTGAGAGACTGTGAATCAGCCTGTCACGGTCTTGCATAATTGTGTCTCTGCTTGCAGCAGAAATACTAAAATGTTATGTCTTTGTAACATACCAAAGAGCCAAGGGTTTTTTTTTTTCCCTTTTCGTTTTGACAGAATGATCTGGCCTGGTATTCAAAGGTAAAAAAAAAATCTATTCTCTACTTCCTGCTCCTTTCTTTCTCTATTTTCTTTCTTTACCCGTCTGTTCAGAGACCCCGACTCGCAAACAAAAGTCATTTCTTATTCCATGTCCCTGAGAGAATCAACACAGCGAAGTTGCATTGAAATTTTCCCTGCCTCGATTTCAATCCCATATCCTGGGAGGGGGGGTAAAGGTGCAATTAAAATAACGGCTTCATATTTCCTGTAATATTTTTCTAATATTACAGAGTTACAACTTGTTTTTTTCCTAAACAGTCTTCGCTTTGTATTGTAGTAAGTTCTTTTATGCTTTATTTTATTATTGCATAATCATCCTTTTCCCCTAACTGATCAAGTAGTGGGAAAAATATATATATATATAGGTCAGCCCTTTGTGGGAGCAATTTGACTCCTAACACACACGCATTGTCTGCCAGTTGTAATGAAAGCTCTGGGTTATTTGCAGCATTTGTAATTTCATTGTGCTTCTGTAAGTGACGGCTGGAGAATTGCAGAGTCATGGGGGGGGGCGGGGGGATTTGGGGGGGGGGCC